TTTGTAGGTGGGAGATATTTAGGTAGTAGGTAGAAGTATTTCCAGTTAAAATGTCTAAAGCAGTAATGGATTATTAAAATAACTATAGGCTTTAGATTTAAATAAAAGATTAATTGATTCCGCCCGGGCTCGTACCGGGGACCGTCTGCGTGTTAGGCAGATGTGATAACCGCTACACTACGGAATCTGAACTGCTTGTTGTAGAAGTTAGTATTTTTCCAGTCGAAATTTCTAAAACAGTAATGGATTATTAAAATAACAATAGGCCGGGTACCTCCCGTATAGTATAATAGCATATGAAATAACAGTAACACCAAAATATATCTGTTGCTTAAAATAAGTTGTCCATTGAACGTTTTGAAGTGGTTTCTAAGATACTTACTAAGCCTAATAGAACATGGATACCAATTCCAATAAAGAGAAAGTGATTCCGCCCGGGCTCGAACCGGGGACCTTCTGCGTGTTAGGCAGATGTGATAACCATACACTACGGAATCTGTTACTGGTAGGAAATAGTATATCCAGTTAAAATTTCTAAAATGGTCAGATGTGCTAACCGCTACACTACCGAATTTGTAGGTAGGAGATATTTAGGTGGTAGTTAGAAGTATTTCCAGTTAAAATGTCTAAGAGTAATGGATTATTAAAATAACAATAGGCTTTAGATTTAAATAAAAGATTAATTGATTCCGCCCGGGCTCGTACCGGGGACCGTCTGCGTGTTAGGCAGATGTGATAACCGCTACACTACGGAATCTGAACTGCTTGTTGTAGAAGTTATTATTTTTCCAGTCGAAATTTCTAAAACAGTAATGGATTATTAAAATAACAATAGGCCGGGTACCTTCCGTGTACTATAATAGCATATGAAATAACAGTAACACCAAAATATATCTGTTGCTTAAAATAAGTTGTCCATTGAACATTTTGAAGTGGTTTCTAAAATATACTTACTAAGCCTAATAGAACATGGATACCAATAAAAAGATAGTGATTCCGCCCGGGCTCGAACCGGGGACCTTCTGCGTGTTAGGCAGATGTGATAACCGCTACACTACGGAATCTGTTACTGGTAGCAAATAGTATATCCAGTTAAAATTTATAAAACGGTCAGATGTGATAACCGCTACTTGCTTGTTGTAGAATTTAGTATTTTTCCAGTCGAAATTTCTAAAACAGTAATGGATTATTAAAATAACAATAGGCCGGGTACCTCCTGTGTATGATTATAGCATATGAAATAACAATAACACCAAAATATATCTGTTGCTTAAAATAAGTTGTCCATTGAACGTTTTGAAGTGGTTATTTACTAGGCCTAATAAATAACTAACGTGGATACCAATTCCAATTAAAAAAAAAAGTGATTCCACCTGGGCTCGAACAGAGGACCTTCTACGTGTTAGGCAGATGTGATAACCGCTACACTACGGAATCCCTTGTTGTTGAAGGAGTTAGTAATTTTCCAGTCGAAATTTCTAAAACAGTAATGGCTTATTAAAATAACAATAGGCCGGGTACCTCCTGTGTATAATATTAGCATATGAAATAACAGTAACACCAAAATATATCTGTTGCATAAAGTAAGTTGTCCATCGAACGTTTTGAAGTGGTTTCTAAAGCCTAATAAAACATGGATACCAATTCCAATAAAAAGAAAGTGATTCCGCCCGGGCTCGAACCGGGGACCTTCAGCTTGTTAGGCAGATATGATAACCGCTACACTACGGAATCTGTTGCTTGTTGTAGGAGTTAGTATTTTTCCAGTCGAAATTTCTGAAACAGTAATGGATTATTAAGATAACACAAGGCCGAGTACCTCCCGTATAGTATAATAGCATATGAAATAACAGTAACACCAAAATATATCTGTTGCTTAAAATAAGTTGTCCATTGAACGTTTTGAAGTGGTTTCTAAGATACTTACTAAGCCTAATAGAACATGGATACCAATTCCAATAAAAAGAAAGTGATTCCGCCCGGGCTCGAACCGGGGACCTTCTGCGTGTTAGGCAGATGTGATAACCATACACTACGGAATCTGTTACTAGTAGGAAATAGTATATCCAGTTAAAATTTATAAAACGGTCAGATGTGCTAACCGCTACACTACCGAATTTGTAGGTAGGAGATATTTAGGTGGTAGGTAGAAGTATTTCCAGTTAAAATGTCTAAGAGTAATGGATTATTAAAATAACTATAGGCTTTAGATTTAAATAAAAGATTAATTGATTCCGCCCGGGCTCGTACCGGGGACCGTCTGCGTGTTAGGCAGATGTGATAACCATACACTACGGAATCTGTTACTGGTAGCAAATAGTATATCCAGTTAAAATTTATAAAACGGTCAGATGTGATAACCTGTCTCTTATACACATCTAGATGTGTATAAGAGACAGTTCTGCGTGTTAGGCAGATGTGATAACCGCTACACTACGGAATCTGTTACTGGTAGCAAATAGTATATCCAGTTAAAATTTATAAAACGGTCAGATGTGATAACTGCTACACTACCGAATTTTTAGGTGGGAGATATTTAGGTAGTAGGTAGAAGTATTTCCAGTTAAAATGTCTAAAACAGTAATGGCTTTTTAAAATAACAATAGGCTTTAGATTTAAATAAAAGATTAATTGATTCCGCCCGGGCTCGAACCGGGGACCTTCTGCGTGTTAGGCAGATGTGATAACCGCTACACTACGGAATCTGTTGCTTGTTGTAGAAGTTAGTATTTTTCCAGTCGAAATTTCTAAAACAGTAACGGATTATTAAAATAACAATAGGCCGGGTACCTCCTGTGTATGATTATAGCATATGAAATAACAATAACACCAAAATATATCTGTTGCTTAAAATAAGTTGTCCATTGAACGTTTTGAAGTAGTTACTTACTAGGGCTAATAAATAACTAACGTGGATACCAATTCCAATAAAAAAAAAAAAAATGATTCCACCTGGGCCCGAACCGGGGACCTTCTACGTGTTAGGCAGATGTGATAACCGCTACACTACGGAATCTCTTGTTTTTGAAAGAGTTAGTAATTTTCCAGTCGAAATTTCTAAAACAGTAATGGCTTATTAAAATAACAATAGGCCGGGTACCTCCCGTGTATAATATTAGCATATGAATTAAAAGTAACACCAAAATATATCTATTGCATAAAATAAGTTGTCCATTGAACGTTTTGAAGTGGTTTCTAAAGCCTAATAGAACATGGATACCAATTCCAATAAAAAGAAAGTGATTCCGCCCGGGCTCGAACCGGGGACCTTCTGCGTGTTAGGCAGATGTGATAACCGCTACACTACGGAATCTGTTGCTTGTTGTAGGAGTTACCGTAGTATTTTTCCAGTCGAAATTTCTGAAACAGTAATGGATTATTAAGATATAACACAAGGCCGGGTACCTCCCGTATAGTATAATAGCATATGAAATAAGAGTAACACCAATATATCTGTTGCTTAAAATAAGTTGTCCATTGAACATTTTGAAGTGGTTTCGAAAATACTTACTAAGCCTAATAGAACATGGATACCAATTCCAATAAAAAGAAAGCGATTCCGCCCGGGCTCGAACCGGGGACCTTCTGCGTGATAGACAGATGTGATAGCCATACACTACGGAATCTGTTACTTGTAGGAAATAGTATATCCAGTTAAAATTTCTAAAACGGTCAGATGTGCTAACCGCTACACTACCGAATTTGTAGGTGGGAGATATTTAGGTGGTAGGTAGAAGTATTTCCAGTTAAAATGTCTAAGAGTAATGGATTATTAAAATAACAATAGGCTTTAGATTTAAATAAAAGATTAATTGATTCCGCCCGGGCTCGTACCGGGGACATTCTGCGTGTTAGGCAGATGTGATAACCGCTACACTAAGGAATCTGAACTGCTTGTTGTAGAAGTTAGTATTTTTCCAGTCGAAATTTCTAAAACAGTAATGGATTATTAAAATAACAATAGGCCGAGTACCTCCCGTGTACTATAATAGCATATGAAATAACAGTAACAACAAAATATATCTGTTGCTTAAAATAAGTTGTCCATTGAACGTTTTGAAGTAGTTACTTACTAGGCCTAATAAATAACTAACGTGGATACCAATTCCAATAAAAAGAAAGTGATTCCACCCGGGCTCGAACCGGGGACCTTCTGCGTGTTAAGCAGATGTGATAACCGCTACACTACGGAATCTCTTGCTTGTTGAAGGAGTTAGTAATTTTCCAGTCGAAATTTCTAAAACAATAATGGCTTATTAAAATAACAATAGGCCGGGTACCTCCCGTGTATAATATTAGCATATGAAATAACAGTAACACCAAAATATATCTGTTGCATAAAGTAAGTTGTCCATCGAACGTTTTGAAGTGGTTTCTAAGATACTTACTAAGCCTAAGAGAACATGGATACCAATTACAATAAAAAGAAAGTGATTCCGCCCGGGCTCGAACCGGGGACCTTCTGCGTGTTAGGCGATGTGATAACCGCTACACTACGGAATCTTTTGCTTGTTGAAGGAGTTAGTAATTTTCCAGTCGAAATTTCTAAAACAGTAATGGATTATTAAAATAACAATAGGCCGGGTACCTCCCGTGTATAATATTAGCATATGAAATAACAGTAACACCAAAATATATCTGTTGCATAAAGTAAGTTGTCTGTCGAACGTTTTGAAGTGGTTTCTAAGATACTTACTAAGCCTAATAGAACATGGATACCAATTCCAATAAAAAGAAAGTGATTCCGCCCGGGCTCGAACCGGGGACCTTCTGCGTGTTAGGCAGATGTGATAACCGCTACACTACGGAATCTGTTACTGGTAGCAAATAGTATATCCAGTTAAAATTTATAAAACGGTCAGATGTGATAACCGCTACACTACCGAATTTGTAGGTGGGAGATATTTAGGTAGTAGGTAGAAGTATTTCCAGTTAAAATGTCTAAAACAGTAATGGTTATTAAAATAACAATAGGCTTTAGATTTTAATAAAAGATTAATTGATTCCGCCCGGGCTCGAACCGGGGAACCTTCTGTGTGTTAGGCAGATGTGATAACCGCTACACTACGGAATCTGTTGCTTGTTGTAGAAGTTAGTATTTTTCCAGTCGAAATTTCTAAAACAGTAATGGATTATTAAAATAACAATAGGCCGGGTACCTCCTGTGTATGATTATAGCATATGAAATAACAATAACACCAAAATATATCTGTTGCTTAAAATAAGTTGTCCATTGAACGTTTTGAAGTAGTTACTTACTAGGCCTAATAAATAACTAACGTGGATACCAATTCCAATAAAAAAAAAAAGTGATTCCACCTGGGCTCGAACCAGGAATCTTCTACGTGTTAGGCAGATGTGATAACCGCTACACTACGGAATCTCTTGTTTTTGAAGGAGTTAGTAATTTTCCATTCGAAATTTCTAAAACAGTAATGGCTTATTAAAATAACAATAAGCCGGGTACCTCCCGTGTATACTATTAGCATTTGAATTAAAAGTAACACCAAAATATATCTGTTGCATAAAGTAAGTTGTCCATCGAACGTTTTGAAGTGGTTTCTAAAATACTTACTAGGCCTAATAGAACATGGATACCAATTCCAATAAAAAAGAAAGTGATTCCGCCCGTGCTCGAACCGGGGACCTTCTGCGTGTTAGGCAGATGTGATAACCGCTACACTACGGAATCTGTTGCTTGGTGTAGGAGTTAGTATTTGTCCAGTCGAAATTTCTAAAACAGTATTTGATTATTAAAATAACACAAGGCCGGGTACCTCCCGTGAATTATAATAGCATATGAAATAACAGTAACACCAAAATATATCTGTTGCATAAAGTAAGTTGTCCATCGAACGTTTTGAAG